CGAGAGGCCTCCTAAATACAAGCGTTCAGCAGTTGCTTCATCCGCCCACCTGCCTGACCTGACTTCAGGTGACATGGGATTCGACGCCTCTAGAATATGCGCATTATTGAGGCACCCCACTTCACATTTAGGCGTGACAAGACGGAACGCCTCAGACTGGTGATTTAATTGATTTGGAACAGAGTTCGGGCCATCCGAGAAATGGGTTTTGCCACATTTCCAGTTGGTCCTTGCCGCCCATTTTGGCAATCAAACACTTTATTTGTACTGGCGTCATTCATACCAGTAGAAGTGCCACTTTTAACCCTGTAGGCCCGCAATGTGCTGGTTTAAACAGCTGAAAGGTTGTAACTCGCCCCCTAACAGCTGACAACGGTCCTAGCAAATTCTGCTGTCGTCATAACAACGGCAACTGTCATGACAACGGCAGTCGCCAAAGCTGCAATTGTCGCGGACTCGGGAAAAAACTGTGAACTATTAAGAAAGGAATAAATGTAGCGCTGTTACAAAGCATCAACTGCGTATTTAGACTCGACAATAATACAGGACTTAAATTATTGTAGTTACACAGTGGCACTTTCCGATACTCTTAACAAACTAAATGGTCCTGATGGTTCACCAGAGCATGTTTTTGAAATATGCTCCAATGGTGGCAGACTCCCTTCAAGGATTTATGTCATGGAAAATTAAGGAAATTAAAGCTGAACGACAAGGAAATACTTTTTGATGATTTTCTCTTCCGAATCCACCTATTGTTGGTTTGTGATCAAAACGTTCAGGTGCTTTCTAAGGCGATATATGCCATTATATCAGGCGATATGTCACCTGTTGATCACCATTGGGCCTGTTGTATTCCCGCGGTAGTCTATGACTCGCTAATGGATGATAGTGGTACTCTGACAATCTTTTTCGATCAGTGATATAATAGCCTAGTGCTATTCAGACGCATGGCGCCCTCGTAGCAGCTAGCGTGTGGCTGATTAGGGACTTGGTTTGGAGCGTGATGTGTCACCATCACCCGAGGCCGTACATCACAGGAGCTGAAAACAACAGTGGGTCGCATTGCCAGACGGCATCATGTTTTCTGTATGGCGTTGACTTGCTTGCCATGAACGTTTACCTCACGCGCGGCGTGCGTTTTCAATTACACGACCGTGGCACGCGCCAAACTCACCAGTGCAGGACTACGGCCAGCTGCCGTCCGTGAAGTCAGTTCGCTTCAAGTAGCAACTGGTACCGTTGAGGTATCAATTCCAACACTCCACGGGTGAGGGTCAGAGGCCCAGGCCCACAGCTGGCAGACCGGCTCCCGGGAAACCTGAGCTGGTTCCATTCCGAGGACAGAGGGACAAAAAAACGGACCAGCAATAGCAAACGACGGGCATGGGAAGAAAGATCAATCGTGGAGATAATGCTGGTAATGGTGAAAATGATTGGCCTGCCGTGACAGCCGCATGGCCGCCACCGCTAATACAGCGCCCAAATCGGCCATTATCCCAGACCCTACCACAATAATTTCCCAGAACGCATTTGGATCAAACAGTGTTTATTCCAATTCCAGGACAGAAAAAGTTGCCTGTCTGAACGACCACGACTAGATGCGGCCGCCGCCGGCGTCGTCATGACGACATGAGACGAAATCACGCGCGGAACGGCGTCCCGTCACGCTTCTCGCGCCAGAAACGCCATAATGGAATCGCTGAGAGACAGTTGCAAGAACCGGTGAGAAACCATATTGTTGGAAGAGGCTCACCGATAAATCCCGCTCGTCCACCATATTTCGGACCTGGAAGCTAAAACCGATGCAAGCTGAATGACCACTAGCCAGGAGCACGTTGGTCCGGCGACACGTGCAAGCAGGTGTATGTCACGGCTACTGAGCTCAGCGTCTCCCTAAGATACATGTTACGTTGGCATATATATATATATATATATATATATATATATATATATATATATATATGTGTGTGTGTGTGTGTGTGTGTGTGTGTGTGTGTGTGTGTGTGTGTTAAGTCGCATCAGGCAACTTTTTGGGAAACTTAAGTGACGGATGAAAAAAATGACAGATGAAAAAAAATTATTTCTTCATATTTGTCTGACAGAACTCAATGTGTAAAAATCAGGAATTATCTATCAACAATCAAAAACGTAACAATGGGGTACCCCAAGGATCCATTCTCGGCCCAATCCTCTTTTTAATGTACATAAATGACTTACCTAAATTAAGCAGTAACATGATTTGTCTGTCTTATGCTGATGATACTGCGATTGTTTTCAAAAATAAAAGTATTGTCGAACTTCAAAACAATGTCAATACGCTTTTGCTTCTAATGACTTCTTGGTTTGCTGCTAATTTTCTCTCCCTGAACGTATCAAAAACATTCACACAGCATTACACAACCCTTTCTTCGCATTTCCGACTACATGTGCAAATAAATAATTCACCTATTGAAGAGAAAAAGAAATTAAATACCTTGGTGTAATCATTGACAAATCTCTTAAATTTACAAGCCACATGAATTTTGTTGCAAGTATAGTAAGTAGAAATATTGGAACAATAAGAAGGGTTAGGTACTTCATCGATAAAAAACGTCACGTGTACTCTATAAACTTTAATTCTTCGTTATTTAAATTACTGCTGCTTGATTTGGGGTATAAATTATGCTTCTCAACTAGATCGGTTGGTAATTTTGCAAAAAAGGGCTGTGCGTCTTATAGAAAATGTGCATCCTCCACAAAGCTCAGAGCCAATCTTTAAACGATACAAAATTATGAAACTATCGGATATTGCTAAATCTCAAATGTTAATTGTGATGCACAAATTTTTAACTTCACACCTCCCTGCATCATTCGATTTAATTTACAATCTCTACGAATCCAATGACATGGATATGAGGCGAGCAAAACATTTAGACCAACCTTTCTCTTATCGTAATTATAGACTATTTACAGCATCTTGCCTTGGCCCTAAGCTGTGGAACGACATTATGGTTTCATAGTTTCCAAGAATAGCTGATATCCCTGTATCGAAAACCATCGCCAAGAACAACATCCGCAAGCATTTCGTGAACACATATTAACGTAACCAACATATTTGAAGACATTGCCATCCTTGTGCTGTACATATCCAACGCACTTCATATTTGGCCTCCTTCACGTTTCATAATCAATTTCTGATATAAAGTCATGCACATATACCAAAATTCACGGCGCTGGCTCCGGGAGTTCTCCCAGCGACAAGCTCTGCTTAACTGGGTGAACTCCCTGGACATCCAGCTCAAAACCCAGCACAAAAATGACCAGGTAATTGCCCCCTCCGACTTGTGACTGTATAGCCCTTACTAACACGGGGAATTGAGTGGTTGTAGATTATTTGGCGGTTGTAGCGGGCTGCCATTAGCTGACTTTGGTTAATGACTACTTTAAGCCTTTTCATCTATGATTTTTCCCTACCTATCACGTAGCACAATTCCTTCGGGTCTGCTCCACCTCTTCGCCTGTTTTTTTTTACGTTTGTTTCATCTTCCTAATTGGGAGTGCCGCGACTTGATTTTATGTTTTATGGTGTTAACGTACGGTTTACTGCGTCGCTGGGATTGAGGGAGGGGCACTCCTGGCTACCTGTTCTTGGGTAACGGCGTAAAAAAAAGATGGTGCTGAAATATCAGTAAATATTTGACAGCAATTCCTTCAAACTCATGCACATGGAAAGCGCACATAATTCCTCATTTAGGACGAGGATTATTCAGGAAGAGGGTCAGCCAATATCCAAGAGTGGATTCCCAATCAGGTCTTGGGCTGAGCGAAAGTTTGTTCGGGGATAAAAAAGATAACCAAGTCCCCAAATTTGGCGCCAGTTGTACTACAATCAAGCACCAACAGGACAAGTTGTGTTTCCGACCGCCTTCAGCAGGGAATAACCTAGTTGTGTCTCCCACCCGCCTTCAGCGGGACATGACCTAGTTGCTCCCCGCCTGCCTACAACATTTTTGGTGACATTTGATGCTATCACTAGCTCATTGGATACTAGTGTGATCTAGCGAGCCTGAAGTGACATTGTTCCGTTCATAAAACAAAACTGAAAACGCGTGAGTCGAATGGAACTTTGACCACAAGAGGACGACGTTTTGCTTGTTAGACAGTCGGAGCAGCCCATGCACCAACAAGTTAATCATGCCAATGCTGTGCATGTTTTAAATGGTATAAATAGCCGGCATCCTGTGAAGCTCTAAAAGTTGCGGAAGGAAAGCATAACTATCTCAAACAGATTTAGATTTCACGTGGTGTGTAAGGTATGGTGTTGGTTGACCACATATAAAAATGGACGAATGGCAACATGCCTGGTCTAGACACGGCAATGACGCCTCATACACCCCGTGTCTCATCTTTCCAAACATTTTCATTCACCCCAGGATTTCCTTTGCTGAAAGGCCGCGAAGACAATCAGGTATGCCAAAAAGAATTGTAATGAAAATATCGCCAATGTGAATCACGCAAAACTTTATGGCCTGGCCTTTTCAGGTCTTTACAAGAACAATGCAACACACCAGAGCTTGACCGATGCAAATTGCCTGAATCGGTAATTAGACTGTGCTAAAACTGCTAGCTTTGTTGTCATATATGTTACCAAATCTTACTGAATGGCAGTTATTGTTTCTAATGTTGTGATTTATTATATATAATTATATTACTACTAAGAAATATGATGACATTTATTGTTACTAACGTGAGTTGTCAACTTAGTTGTCTTTTATGAACCAAGAGCCGTGTGCTTGGGCTCATAACGGATCCAGGACCCTGTCACCATTGGGCAATGTGACATCCGAAAGGGGTTCGGGATCCACCCATGTGGCACATCTGTATCGCCTCCACGAAGCAGAGGTGAAGGGCCAGGCTTTCTGATGGCCGGATCACCACACGAAAGTGGCGCGTGCGGTGTTTACTGTGGCGCAGCTCTGCTGCAACGTTTGAGACATCCCCATCACAACCATTTGATTGCGGTGCTTCCATCTGGACGAGTTCGGCGCTGGTGTTTCTGAACAGCGGTTAGCCGGCGGGGGCGCGGCGGCCGGCGGCCGCTAGTGCTGGCCGGTGGCGTCGCCAATGCAGCCAATGCTGGTGTTGCGGCCATGGCCACCGTCCGGCGAGTGACCCCGGACCGGACCCTGCCATTGATCACCGCAACACAACAGGCAATGAGGAGCAAAAAGTCCCAAGCTCCGGTAATAACGTGACGGATGGCACATGGCGCCGCACCAGGACCTAGGCCTGACCGGCTGGCCGTCCGTGGGTCCCGCTCCGGGGCGTGGCCGTCGGGCCGCGCGCGGGTCCCGCACCGGGGCGTGAGCGGCTGCCGTCCGCGGGTCCCACACCGGGGCGCGAGCGGCTGCCGTCCGCGGGTCCCGCACCGGGGCGTGAGCGGCTGCCGTGTGCGGGTCCCGCACCGGGGCGTGAGCGGCTGCCGTCCGTGGGCCCGCACCGGGGCGTGAGCGGCTGGTCCGCGCGGGTCCCGCACGGGGCGTGAGCGGCTGGCCGTGCGCGGGTCCCGCACCGGGGCGTGAGCGGCTGCCGTGCGCGGGTCCCGCACCGGGGCGTGACCGGCTGCCCCCGTCCCCACCGGGGCGTGAGCGGCTGGCCGTGCCGCGGGTCCCGCACCGGGGCGTGAGCGGCTGGCCGTCGCGGGTCCCGCTCCGGGGCATGGCCGTCGGGCCGCGCGCGGGTCCCGCACCGGGGCGTGAGCGGCTGCCGTGCGCGGGTCCCCACCGGGGCGTGAGCGCCCGCGGGTCCCGCACCGGGGCGTGAGCGGCTGGCCGTCCGCGGGTCCCGCACCGGGGCGTGA